GAGAGCCATCCATCATCTCAGGCGCCCGTTGCGATTCTGGCGCCTCGTAGAATCTTCAGATGAGACTCGAGGTCACGAGCAAATCCAGGAGCTGCATCCTGCTCTGTCTTTAGTTTGTGGTAAAAGTAGAAGGCCAGGACCGCCAAACAGTGGGCGTCCGCTCTCGAGAAGAGCCTATCATATTGCCCCTCATCCCCAAGCCCAATACGAGCCATGGGGCAGGGCGGGAGAAAAGCACGAGGTCGGTGACGAGCCAGGAGGTGGAGGAGCCGAGGACAGCAGAGGTAGTGAGGACGGGAGTCCACACATCCTTCGCATCCAAGGCGGCAGTTCCTGCGCGCGAGGACGGGCATTCTGGCTGTAGTGACCCATCCCCCCGCGAGACTTTTCAAATGAACCCAGGCCCATGAAGGCTGGGAACGTGTGAGAATCAGCTTCAGGAGCGCCCACCTCGCCTCCATGTCTCGCGAGGTGGGGAGCTCCAGCGTCGGGAACCAGGCACGGAGGCGGCGGAGGAAGAGGAGGTGGAGACGGTCAGGAAAGAGGGTCGAGGAAAGGGAGCGGGAAAGAATGCGCTGGATCCTAGGTCGCCTTCCCTCCTCCAAGGCGGCGCGTCTTTCCTCCAGCATCCTCCGCTCCGCCTCTCGGAGGGCAGTGCGAGCGAAGACGTCGGAGGGGGAGACATCAAGAACAGACAGGACGAATTGGGCGATCGACCGATCTTGGGCCCAGCACATTGGGGACCAGTCCCCTCGGGCATGACGCACACATGTGCCGTGCCACATATGCCGCTCTCCCAGTAGCCGTGTGAAATCCTTGGCCTTCGTCCACGTGCGAAGCCCGAACCGCCACGCAGCCGATCGACCGAGGACCGCCATCGCCGCAGGCGCCGATCCAGGGAACCACTGTTGAAGGCCTAGGATCTCATCTCGCTTAAACGTGCTCGGGGGAAGCCGTGAGAGTTTGTGCAGCAGCCATTGCTCTCTTCGGAGGAGGAAGGAAGGGAGGGGAACGAACTGAACGAGGCACGACAGGACAGGAAGAGAACAGGAGTTGCACTGCCGAGCGGAGGCTTCCGCGGGCGCCCGTGTCGAGGCAGCATGGCGTACTCGGCGCGCGAGCTTCGTGCTGGCCGCTTCCCACTGCATTTCGAGCGTGGCCTCGGGACCAAATTGCATCCCCAGGTATTTGGCCCGCCCCTTGATGGGAAAGGCCGATAAGGCCGGCGCAAAAGGCCGAAGGTGGGACCCGACGAGGTCCTGCACCTCAGGGGAAACGCGAGTCCAGAGCGGCACCACGAAACATTTCTTGCTCTGCAGGCGCAGGTGCGCCAGCTCCTGTGCCGCTGCAAAGACAGGCGCAACGCGGGTCACCTCCTTCAGTACAGGTAGTACCACTCCAACATCATCCGCACATGCTCCAGCAATCAGGGGCGCCATCTCGCCAGGGCCAGTCACCATCGGGTAGTCAGTATTGCCCACTTCGAAACCATTTGCTGCCATGACACTTCCGTAGCCCTCCACGTTGCCATTGCACAGGTGATGTAGGAAGGGATCAAACGCCAGCGCCCATAAAGACCCAGAGAGCGGGCAACCTTGGGCCACACCCGCCGATGCGTGAAAGAGAAATTGTAAGGAGTCACCGCACCAGGTCCAGCTTTGCATACCATGATACAGCGCCCGAATGGCCATGAGAAAGCCCGTAGCAATCTTATGATACCCCAATACCGTCTGGATCCATATCCGACCCATCGAAGGAAAGGCCGCGCACACATCAAATGAAATGAAGACAGGCCTGAGAACGTTCGCATATGTCCACCAGCCATGCGCGCATACGTGTCAAGCTCCGCGATGTGGGTGGTAAACTGCCTTCCACGGACAAATCCACGCTGGACATGGTGGCATCTCTGTTCCGCAATCGCGCGTAACTGAACATTAATGGCGCTGGCGATGGCCTTGGAGTCTGTGTTCTTCAGCGCAAGCGGCCGTAGCTCATCGGGAGCCCGAACAAGATCAATAAGATCCTCTGGCCGCTCATCTTTCGGAATGAGGCACAGCAAGTGGTGATTAAAGCCCGCGGGGCAGCCAATTCCACTGAACATATCAAGCAGAACAAGATAGAGAGTCTCCACCGCGTCAGCATGGGCCAGCCACGCACGATAGGGCAGCCTGTCTGGACCAGGTGCACTGGGCTTGCCCTTGCGCATGGCGCTCTTGAGGTCATCGATCGACGGCGGCTTGAGCTCAGGAGCAGGATAGACAGGGAGATGATCGCAAATATACCCGCGAAGAACATCGCCAGACGGAGACTCTTTCGCCCTGAATACCTCCCCCCCAGTGTCGCTGAAGCGCCGAGGCCATGTCCGCTTCGCCGCGAGCAGTCATACCATCAGCAGAATCTGTATGCCCATCTGAAATTCCCGTCCCAGGTAGGGCATGCATCTCCTCGCATGCATCAGAGTCCGTCAAGAATCCACCCGCCAACGAAGACGAAGAGGAAGAGACCGATAGCGAAGACGAAATAGTAGAAGAGCGGCCAGAGGAGGCAACAGCGGCCGCTGAAACCGCAGGCTCGCGAGGCGCGGTCCCAGGGGAAGGCCCGTCATTAAGGTCGCCACTGCCCGAAGGCGTGGTCCGACCTCCAAGCGAGTCCGATACAGCGGCTTGAAGACTCCCCCCGCGCATCCCAGGAGCGGTCGCTGAGACCGTAGACTCACGAGGCGCGGGGCGGCAGTCATTAAGGTCGCGCCTGCTGGTGGCGGCAGTCCGACCACCAAGTGAGTCCGATACAGCGGCTTGAAGGGATGCATCCTATGAGCAAGGCGCAGACGTCACGATGAGAGAAGGCAAGGAACCCATCCGCGTCGGGGACTGCTCTTCCGATGTCTGCTGAGGGGAGAATCGTGTCCCCTGCTCCTGGAGGCCCTCAGGAGGAGCACAGCGAATGTCCGCAACCGCAGGAGGCATCGTAGGATGTCCAGCCGAGTTGAGCCTGATGCCGTTCAGGATAAGCTGGCGGCGCGAGTCACACCATAGACGGGCTCTCCTTGCTGACGCCCTCTGTATCTTGCGCCACTGTTCCCGAGACAACTCGGCGGGCTCACGTCGTTGCCGATCGCC